AGAATATATTTTGAGGAAGGTGATTAGATTTCCAAGTCTTGTTATGATGCAGGGATATTTGGATGTATTTTTTTTTGCCTCCCCCAGCCCGGCCAGTCTACGAAGCTGGAAACATTGGGGAAACTCTCTGAGCAGCTTACAATGTTAGCATATTGGCCTTAACAATCTGGGTTCTCATTCTACTGACCTTATAAAGATGGAAAGTCAGGATTGAACTCCTGGCAGTGAGCAGAGTCAGCCTGCAATACTGCATTTTAACAACTGCACCCTTATAGTTCACCCTCCTTTCGGTAATATGGGCCTATCCTAAAACTATTGAAGCCATTTGTAATTAATTGTTTGTGAGCTGAAAAATCTAGTTTGGAATTGCCGCTGAGATGCAAAACAGGGTTTTGCTGTGAGAGTAATAACACCATTCAAGACCAGTAAAAACTGGTCAAACTGTTTTAAGATCTAGAACTTGAGACTTTGCCACGGATGCTTGCATAACAACCGTCATGGGAGTTTCTGTTCACAATTTGGCTGCTAATGGCTATGAAAGGAAATGTCAGCTATCACCAGTTGAACTTTTGAACTTGTAAGATTGTTTTCCCCTCTCAGGATAGTATCTACCACTCCCGATTTTCTTTCGTATTTTGCAGATGGGCACAAGTAGAACTGAACTAAAACCAGCCACAATGCTTGCTTTTTAAAATTTTCTGTTGATCTTTTAATAATAATAATAATAATTAATTGCAGAATGTGGTGCTTTGCAGCATACCAACTTTATAACTGTTCTTTTTAGCTTATTTACTACTATATGGTGTTCAGAATTATGTGCCATGCTTATGACTTTGAAAAGCAGCAATGGCTTTCAAGTTATTAGACAGCCTCCTGCCTCCATACCTTTCTCTGCCGCTGTGCAGAATTTTTCACTTGTGCAGATTTTTCTAGCTTAGAATTTCTTTTTACCCACTGGTAGATACCATGACTGAGCAATCTCTTGTCCTAAACCTTGGCATTCTATTCTCTTGCCCCTTTGCAGGGAAATGGGCCGAAAGGAGCGGGAGGCACTGAAGCAGATGGCTGAGGTGGCCAAAGAAGGCTTTGAAATCAAGAAGGCCCTGATTGAAGAAGCAAGTAAGAGAAAAGAGGAAAAACAGGTGAGAAAATGTGGAGAAAATGCTTATTGTTAGCTGGGGCTGTAAGTCTGGATATTTTAATTTTTGCCAAAGCACTTTTGGCATGTTGAGAGGAGCCAAGTCGGGGTTCTTAGACTGGTTTTTAATATTCAAAGTACAATACTTTATGATTGTAAAAGCAAAATTTGGGAGTGTGCCTTATTCTTCAGTATGTTCAGTAGACTGGAGTCTTTCTGTACTCTATATTGTCCTAAGTGCTGATTGTCCATATAAGTTTTAAACTGGATATTGTAGGACATGTATGTTTATTATTAACATGTAATGTCATGTATGTCAACACAAAATAGTTGCTCAGCAGTTGTCTACCGCTGTCCATTTTTTAATTTTCAATGTATGTATGTATTCTAAGGTTTTCGTGGGTGTTAGTATGTAGGTCTTTGGTTATTTGGGTTTTCTCCCGCGTAAAATTGGAGGTGTCTTGGCAACGTTTCGATGAAGTCTCATTCCTTTTAACTGCCAGTGGGGGTTTGAGCTGATTGGGTGGGAGCTTGGCTGTGTTCTGATTGGTTGGGGGTTTGTGTTTCATGTAAGGATAGGGGGGTTTAAAGTGGCTAATGGTGCAGTTGCGGTCTGGCTTCTGGTCCTTGGTCAGACAGGATATGTCACCACCAAACATCCACGAAGAAAGCAGACAAAAACCCACACTGATGATGAGGCACGACCAAGGACCAGAAGCTGTATGTATATACACATACATGCATGCATGCATGCATGCATATACATACATACATACATACATACATACATATATTTATTCAAATCCCAGTAAGGGTATGGCTAGCTGATGAGAGCTAAATAGCTTGAAATAGATCTATACTAGTCTCCCTTTATTTATTTATCAGCACAAATNATAAACATAAAGAATTAAAAATAATTAGCCATTGTTGCCTTTAATGTACGCTTCTCGTTTCAGTCTTTCTGCAAAAAAAACAAAACCATTCATGCTTTGTATTATGGTTCACTCTTAAAAGTTTAGCAAACCTAAAGTGCATTCGACTAACATAGAAGTTTGCAAGTTTAATTTTATTTATAGGCCGCCCAATCCCGAAGGACTCTGGGCGGCTTACAGAAGGGAAAGAAATAAAATAAAATAAAAATAAAACGAAAGAAAAAGAAAATAAAAATAGAGCAATACTTAATTGTCGATTCTTTGTCCTTTAGGTACAAAGGGCCACATTACTACAAACGGATCAATGAACACTTAATCTTAGTCCTTAATAGCAAAGCTCTGGGTAAACTCAACTTTTAATAACAGAATGGCTAACGTGAATGAGAGGCCGTTGGCCTCGGGTTGTTTTATTTTTTTATTTATTTATGTGCCTATCGGGATACTTCAATTTATAAAAACTATATCTCAGCTGATTAAAAAAAAAAGATGTGAGATTTCAGGGTTTTTTTTTAATTTTCCAAAGCTGGTTTAAATTGAAAATAAAATGCTGAGCTACAGTTTTGGACAAGTTGCTGTTTCAGAATGACTCTGGGTGGTGCAGTTAAACTATTAATTGGGAACGTGGAAAGATAATCAAAGTTTGACATAAGCATTGCATGGTAATTTACTAGCTTAATTCTCCAAACGGAGGATTTGAACTTCAAAATGGCAACTGGTAATAAGAAGCAAGTAGAATCTTGACCGTGTTAAGTCACGATCATCATAGCAGAATTTTAAACTCAGAACGTGGGAGGTGCATGTTTCTGAATTGTATGGGTTGCTGCATTTGTGTGGTAGTTTGGAAAACAACAAAGTGTCTTGAGAGGTATTTGGCTCTTGCCAGTTTCATTATTATGTAGGTTGTTTTTTGTTTTTTTTTTGCAACATTAAGGAAGTGGTTTACCATTAAAAAACAAATTCTAATTTAGCCTATAACTTCTGGGGTCTGTCATTGAAATATCAGCTGTAGAGATAGGAAATTCTAGAAAGCAATAGAATGCTAAAGTTCATGTACTGTAAGTTTCAACATATAGGAGAAATACTCATTGCTTATATAATACAATTTTCAAGCAAGTTACTGCACAATAAGGTTGGGAAGGGGAATAATCAACATTTGATTAACATGGGGGGGGGGCCTTGAAGTTGACACAGTCTTCAGAGGTCAGTAAAATGAGGACCCAGATTGTTGGGGCAATATGCTGACATGGTAAACTGTCCAGAGAGTGCTATAAAGCCAGCATGTAAGTTTATGTGCTGTTGCTATTTGCAGGAACTTGTAGCGCCTGACTATAGTGCTATTGATCTGATTTATTTTAAAGGATGAACTGAAATCTCTCTTTTGAGGGAAAGGAAACATTCCCTTACATCCTTTGTCGGCTCTTGGAAGTTGAAGAATATGGGAAGCCATACCCAGGCACCAGGTCTTTTATTTGCCAGGGTGGTGACACCTAGTTGCTTCTATTTTGGGCATTACAACTTTATCATCTTGCCATAGGAAAAACCATTAAAAATGCTTAGTGTTATGATGCTGCCCATATTCTAAGTTCTTTAGTATATTGTTTCCAGAACACAAAACTTTGTTAGCATCCTTCTGCCACGTGCAATGAGTAGTCTGATAGTTGTAGAGGCCATTTGGGAGAGCAAAGGAGCTCTCTTAATGTATACATGGCCTAGGACCTGGGTACCTACGAGATCGTCTTCTGCCACATACCTCCCTTAGACCGATAAGATCGCACAGGATGAGCCTTCTCTGGGTGCCTTCAGCAGGACAATAAGTTCTTTTCATTTATTTTATTTCTGTAAGCCTCCCAGAGTCCTTCGGGATTGGGCGGTATAGAAATCAAATAAATTCAATTCAATTCTTGTTCAGTTTTGGGATAGTCCTTAATGACTCCAAAATTTGAGATGAGACTAATAAGTTGGAGGGAGACACACTGGAATAGTTTTAATATGTTTGGAGTGGTGGCCTACCAGTAAAGACGCTTGCCTCCCACTTGAAAGATGGAGAGTTCATTCCTAGGTGGCAGCAGATGTTTCCTAGGGTGCAAAGAAAAATATACCTGCTGGAACTCTGCATAGGAGACAGGAAGGGCTTTGACCAGTAAAAGCTTGGCTCCATCCAATCACCCGGACCTTACCCCGAATTAGAGGGTTATAGGGTCATAAAAAGGGAAAAAGTTATATCAAAAAAAGTACAAGTTTTGGTCAAGAACACAAGTATTTACCAATTCTGTAAATTCTGAAGCTGAAAATAAATCTTTGGACTTGCATTTTAGGCACTCGGGATATCAGTTTCATAGAGTTTTTTTGATTGCAGAGAAAAATATAAATCACACGTGAGGATCCTACCTGAAACTTGGGTAACTTGATACAGAGTTTTATTTAAAATAAAATTGGATGAGAGGAAGGAATATTCTGCATCTTCCTCCTCCATATATTCATGGTAACAGGAAAGTTCATTATTTGATTTATAGGGCCACTCATCTAAACAAGGGGCTCTGGGTGGCAAACAGAATTAAAATAAAAAGCAATTACAAATATTGCAAAAATTAAAATCCAAAACAGCCGTGAAACGTCAAATCACCAATGCAGCCAAGAAGTGGAAGTTTCTAGAGTAACAAATCCTTTGTTTGCATTTTATTCCAGGAGTTGCTGGTTTTGAGCTTCCGTTATGCTGCTTCTGTATCTTGGAGTGCTCTCACTTTCCGGCTTGGCTCATCCTGTGGAAGTGAAGCGTCCACGGGGGGTCTCCCTCACAAGTGAGTTTTCAAGCAGATAATACAGGTGGTCCTCAACTTACAATTGAGCCCAACATTTATGTTGCTAAGTGGGTCATTCATTGTCAAAGTGGTCTGGTTTCAAAAAAAGTGTCCTGCTCCACCATCATGGATTTTGATGAAATGTGGTGTGAACATGCACACATGCCCCCAACGAACATTGGTAAAGTGTTAGGTTTGCCAATGCAATACTTGTGGAGATACAGTCATTTACCGCAGCCTTCTACAGTAGGACTCTGAGGTTTCAGAAGTTTCGGCCAACTTTGCTCCAAATTATCTAGCTGGAGATCAGTCATGAGAATACTTTAATTATTTTGTTTAATGGAGCAAAGAAGTTGTACAACATGGCCAAGTTTTGTTTCTCTCAACAAAATATTGCCGGAGATATTATGTCTCAAAGTTGCTGAAACCTCAGAGTCCTACTGTAGAAGGCTGTGGCTCTGCAAGTATTACATCGGCAAATGTAACACTTAATGTTTCTTGGGGATATGTGTGCATGTTCACACAGAATTTCATCGAAATCTGTAATGGTTGAGCAGAGAGTCCCAGACCACTTGACATGGAATGACCCAAGTGAAAAATTTGTTTAAGTGAGTTTTGCTCCATTTTACAACTTTTCTTGCCATGTTTGTTAAGTGAATCACTGCAGAATGACTGCAGTTGTTAAATTGGCAACACAGTAAAGTGATTCTGGTTTCCCTATTGGCTTTGCTTGTCAGAAGGTTGCAAAAGATACATGACCCAGAGACACTACAACTCATAAATGTGAGTCGTCAAGTCTCTGAATGCAAATCACATGGCCATGGGGATACTATAATGGTCATAAGTGTGAAAAGGGTCGTAGCTCACTTTTTTTCAATTTGTCAGGCATTCCTCCTTCAATATCCAAGAAAGAGAAACCCCAATTCCATGTTAATAGAGATAAAGTACTTTTACTAGATATGAAGTGAAAGCAGCTAAAAGGAAAGCAAGATCTGAGCCAGAAAGGCGCAAATATGTACATATCAAACATTTACCCAGCACCCTCCCCCCAAAGAGCCGAGGTGGCGCAGTGGTTAGGGTGCAGCACTGCAGGCCAGTTCAGCTGACTGTTATCTGCAGTTCAGCGGTTCAAATCTCACCGGCTCAAGGTTGACAGCCTTCCATTCTTCAGAGGTGGGTGAAATGAGGACCCAGACTGTGGGGGCGATATGCTGGCTCTGTAAACCGCTTAGAGAGGGCTGAACTGCTATTGCTATTGTTATTGCTAATTCCTCAACCCACTGTCCAATCTGCAACTCCCTAGGGTGTCATGTGGGGTGCATCTTCAAAAAGCCTCATCAAGTTGGTATGCAAGATGGTTGGTCTTGACCAAGTCTAAACCCAGGCCACCAGCATGCACAGAAGATGGTGAGAACAAAACTCCCTTCTTCATAACTCCTCTGGCACCAGTAATTTTCCCTCCCAAGTATCTCAAGCCCCCTCCCCTCCGTTTCTATGGCAGCCGATAGCAAGCAAGGAAAGTAGAGGCTGACACATAACTTTGAATGGCCACTGAGCGAATTGTTGTAAGTCGAGGACTACCTGTAGGTTAAATGGCAGGTCTGATCTCCTCTTACAGCGTGTCACTTGGACAGTTTCATTATTTCTAGCAATCGGAGGTTGGGAACACATCATGTCTATGTTTTTGCATTATAAATCAAAAGATTGTATCCATGTTGTATAAGAAAACCTCCATAATTCTCCAATGTTTGTTTTCTTGGATTTAAAATGGAGGTATAAGAGAGAAAACTGGTCATCTGAAGAGACGTTTAAAGCAAATGAGTTACTTAAAAGAAAACAATTTAGTGTTTGAAGTTTGTTTAGATATGCAACTTCCTCGTGTCCTCAAAACTGATTTGTTTTGAATGCTAACAATAAGCTACGGAAGTGGAGTGATTACTAATTGCATCCTGCTCAGCATCTTTTTTTTGTCATTTAAAATATGTTATATAGATATAAGATATGGAATGACTTAACTAGACTTGGAATATTAAATGCTGAATACTTTTCTGAATTGACATATCTTTTTTCCCCAGTATTTTTTCTTGCTTGAATCTAAGTGTGTGTATGTTGTTTTTAGACCATCACTTCTATGATGAATCAAAATCATTCACCTGTCTTGATGGCTCTGCAACAATATCCTTTGATAGAGTCAATGATGATTACTGTGATTGCAAAGATGGCTCAGATGAGCCAGGTAAGTATTTAAATTTTGCCTTATTTGCACATATTGCCTTCCCCCGTCCCAGCTCTTGTAATTACTGCTCTACGTATGTTTGCTAGTATTGCATCTCACATCAACCAACATGTATCTCTTAACAAGGGATAGTAACTGAACTTGTAGTGCTCCCATCCCCGTTAATTTTATTAGATTATTTAAGCAGTTAAATACTAATCTCTGAAGATTTTCTTAAAATTTGGTATCCAGACATAAAACCATAATATTTGTAGATGATAGTAAGTGACTTCCCACTGTAAAATAGGACACAGATGGCCTAGATAAAAATAATTGTACTTAAAAAATACAAATTTTGAATTAAAACATTAAAATGAATAAAATGAAATATAATATTGAACATATCAATTGATAGAATCCAAATTCACTACTGTTACAGGTCTTTTTTTAAAAAAAATCTCCGGAAGTTCTTAAAAATCTGCTTTGATTTATGGAAGAGTCTGTTTCTTATATATTTCAGTGTCATAGCTTTTGGACACCTTATGACTTTAGCAAGTAAATTGTGATAGCTATGAGAAATTAAATTAATATAAATTAACCCACACGCAAGCTCTGTATAGTTCGAGAGCTTGCACGTGTGGCTTAATTTATACTTCCTTCTCTTCCCCAGCCCCCTTTCGTTTAACATACAACTGCCTTGTCTTTCTGCCCAGGAACTGCTGCATGTCCCAATGGCCGCTTCCATTGTGCCAATGCCGGATACCGTCCTATGTACATCCCCTCTTCCCGTATCAATGATGGGATCTGCGGTACGTATTGCTACGTGTTGTGAAGGAATTCTTTGGCTTTGAACGGGAGAACTCAAGTGACGTATGCCCTACGTGGCATCGGACCTGGTTACCTGAGAGGCCGCCTCCCGCCAATTACCTCCCAAAGACCGATTAGACCGCACAGACTAGGCCTNACCATTGAAAATATGTGTTTTCCAATGGTCTTAGGCAACCCCTGTGAAAGGGTCGTTCGACCCCCAAAGGGGTCCCGACCCACAGGTTGAGAACCACTACCTTAGAGGCTGTGACTACCTTATATATACTCTGGACCATAATTAAGCATATCTGCTTTTTTATGGTCTTGTCTCACTGGATTTTACTAGAACAGCCTGTGAAAGATTTACACTAGTTAATTTGTACATGGGTGAGAGGTTCAAGAAGAATAGTTCAGATATTACAGGTGATATTTGTAACACCGTTCCTGTGTCAGAGGGATTACAAAATGTTTCAAAACTGATTAATTAACAGGGACAAACACAAATTAATAAAATGGATACTGCAGATATGGACAATAAAAAGATAAAATATTTTATGTTTGGACCTGAAGGAGTAGAAGCTAATTATTGTGGTGAATTTGGGTTCTAGTTTGGCATTCCAGGCCTGTTAGAGGCTGCAGAGTCCGCACAACCTCGTCCAGATACTATTACTCAGGAGAAATTGCTGAGGGAATTCCAGCTGCTGCTCAAAGGTAAGGAACAAACATTAATACACCCCAAGCAAATATATTATGGTACAATTAAATTAAAATATAATGAATGCAAATAAGTTGATTTTATGTATTGATACTGATATAGGGTTGTCTCAATTGACATTCTGAGGATAAACCTTTTAAAATTCCTTTTACAAGGACAAATGATATAATGTAATGACTAGAGTATATAGCAGATGGAGTAAGGAAGGTTAGATATCATTCAGGCTTTTGGAGGCCCATTCATAATTAATAAAGAATAGTATGGTTGGTCAGTTACAAGGTGATTGTGCTATGAATTCCTAGGAATTTTAGAACACACAAAAAAGACACCGGTGCCCATATTCTTAAATTGTGAGCTTTGATCAGGACAAGTTTCTGGGTAGTTTGCACAAAGAGAGCCTTTAAGATATAGGTTTCATTGACCCTCCTATATGGCATACTTAAGGTCTGTGGCTCATGCTATTTATATAAATTAGTATCAAACATAGAAATAAAATTGACATTGGTTTATTCTCTTTTACTGACAATCAAAATGGAGTTAGTAAAGTAGAATTAATTTATAAATGGATTTCAAAAGAGTATATTTTATTTCTGCTTCAAAACATTGCATTATTAGGAATATTTATCATTTGCTAACTTCCTAGCTGGTCTTTAAAATGTACTGTTTAGATTTTTCCTTTCTCCATCACTGCCAAACAGAATTTTTAAAAAGGTAAAACACTCTGGTGCAATGTCTCTCCCTTAAGATATTGCTTAGTTAACCCTCCATTCTTTTCTCCTCAAACTCTGGTTATTTGCCTACAGAGAATTCTGTGACTTCCCTCCAATAATTTTTAGTAGTCTTTGCTTACTATTCTGGGAGTGATGTTTTATTTTTAATCTGATCTCATTAGATGTTGTGAGACTGCAACTCTCTAGTTAGAAAATCTGGCTATTGTAGTTAGCAATAGCAGCAATAGCAATTAGACTTATATACCGCTTCATAGGGCTTTCAACCCTCTCTAAGTGGTTTACAGAGTCAGCATATCGCCCCCAACAACAATCCGGGTCCTCATTTTACCCACCTCGGAAGGATGGAAGGCTGAGTCAA